GAAAGGAGTCTAGATAGGAAACCTCAAGAAGCTCAGGTTGTTAGAGTTGAGGAACTGTAGCGGTATCAGAACAATTCCACCGGGTGTCATCGCAGGCCTCCACGAATTAGAAGCATTATCCATGATACACATGGACGGATTCAGATGGGAGGTTGAAGAAGTTGGTAAAAAGAGAAGTAACGCAAACCTCAAAGATCTGGAGTCTTTGTCCAAATTGACTACTTTAGAAATTAGCCTAGGAGAATTGGAGCTTATTCCTAGAAGCCTACGCCTTTGCTCGAAGTTGACTTGATATGCTACGGTGTTCGTGCCTATTCTGTAGAACTGGATTGAAATAAATTTATGCATTTCAAACTCCCCACAATAACAACTTTTCCATACTGGGTTAGTGAACGGATAAAACAATCTGAACTTCTATTCAAGGGCGGAGCCACTCGAAGACTGCGCCGGGGAGAGGGGGAGCGGGGGGACCCCCAATTTTTTTTTTAAATATTACTTATGTATATTTCGATTAATTTGAAGTATATTTAAGTGTGTCCACTCCATCATTTTTTGTTTTATCAATTAGTATAATCCGTGTACCTAAATAATTATAATTTTTTGACACACTTTGGGGATATACCTATGTAAATTTTTGACATGTCGAACTCATTTTTTTTAAGCTATAGAGATTTCAATTAAAAAAAAATNATGTTAATTGTCTCTCAGAAAGCATCGCAAGGCTCAAAACTTACTATGGTATTCTTCATTATCTCCACTGGNGGGGATATACCTATGTAAATTTTTGACATGTCGAACTCATTTTTTTTAAGCTATAGAGATTTCAATTAAAAAAAAATTATAAAGATTATGACAACTAGGTTACTTAATTAAATGAGTGATCAATGACTAATAGTTTTAGCATATATATGGAGAAATATTATAATATTTTTTATGCAGTTTGCTTCATTTGTTATAAAGGGGTATAATTAGCCTATTTTTTGTTTGTTTTTATTTATGTAGTTATATTTATCAAAGTTTCACTGTTTTTATATTTTATGAATTTTTAAGTATCGAATACGATATAGTAAATTTAAATATATTATTTTATTTTTATTGATTAGAAGAAAAAAAATTAAAATTTTTTAGTAAAGTGCTCACCCTAAACATAATTTCTGGCTCCGCCCCTTGGTTCTATTGTTGGAATCTGATGGTTCAAAGAGTGTAGTGGATGAGTTGAACTTGAATGGTTTTCTACACTCAAAGGAACTGAGAATTAAAAATTGTGGTAAGCTGGAGTATCTTACTAATGCAGTTGGTGGGCGGCCCCAACCTAATATTGTTATTTTTCCAATCTTGGATACACTTGATCTCAGCTATCTGGCTAGTTTAATCGAGGTTTATGGAGACCAACTTCCTGCGGCAGGGTCCTTCAGGGAGCTAAAAGAGTTGCGGCTAAGACGGTTACGTTCACTAATACATTTATGGAAGTGTCCGACTCAAAATGTTTGCCTTGGCAATCTCAGGTTGGTTTCTATAGATAAATGTGGGAGCTTGGGAAGTTTTTTATCACTCTCAATTGCTAGCGGTATGGCTCAACTCGAAGAACTTTACATAAGCAATTGTGGCAAGCTGGTAGAAGTCTTTCAGATGAAAGGGAAGATGGAAATGTAACTAGCAAGATCAAATTTCCCAAACTAAAGAAAATAAAGCTAGCAAATCTACAAAGTCTCATTCGTTTATGTGGAAGGATTGATGACATTGAGTTCCCTCGATTGAATGAGTTGGAAGTTTCTTCTCTCCCAATGATCAAGGAATTCTACCCCAAAAGCTGCAATGACAATACTTGTGGGTTGCAATCACTTTTCGATCAAAACGTACATACCTGCCTATATCCTGAATAACTTAATTATTTCCTTTTTTTTTTTCGAGGGATGGTGGTGGTGGAGAGTGCTTGAGTTGAAGCACAAAGACTTTCTTCTGGTTCTATGGTTAAAATTCAACTTAATAACCTTGATGTTTTTGTGAGTTCAAAACTTAAGTACAATCACTTGTAGAACTACCATCAATTGTATGGCCTGCACCTACCTAGTCAACCCCTCCCATACTCCCTCTCCCCAATTAATAGGGACTAAATTAGGTGTTATTAATTTATTCTAATTGAGCAAATCAATTTTTTTAATATTTTGGTTCTCTTTAATACTTCCCAAGATTATTGCCATCTGTTATGGAAATTTGTCTCCATATTAAACAAGTAAAGCAGGCTAAATGCCCATAAAACATATTTTTTTTAACCAAAAAAAAAAAAAGAATAAAGCTAGCTAAATATATTTGACCTTTTTAAAAAATTTTGTTAGTTATGACAAATTTTTTGTTAGTTATGATTTGAAGTTTCAAAAATGAATTAAACTTTTAGATAAAAATGAAGGTCTTGAAATTTGGCCAAATTCAATTAGAAAGAAGAAAACTCTTAACAAAAATATAGTTGAAGGGTCGGAGATTTGAACATATAATCTACAAAAATAGTCAATGACTTTGTACTGCTTATCTAATTTTTGTTTTGAAATAAGGGGCATGTTAACGTGTTGTTACAAATTTTTGCAGCTTCTTTTTGGTAGCTTAAAGCGGTTGGAACTCTATCAATTGCAGAATGTGTGAGATATGGTGCAGCCAGATCCAAACAAGTTCGTTCAGTAAACTTGAAAAACTGGAGGTTGAATCTTGCAACAATTTGAGACACTTATTCTATCCTTCGATGGCTAGGGCTCTCATGCACCTCCGATACTTGATAATACGAAATTGCCAAGCAATGGAAGAAGTAGTTGTAAAGGAAGAAAAAGAAGCAGAAGGTGAAAGGAGGATGAATGAAATTCTGCTCCCTTAATTGGAATATTTGTCCCTTGTCCATCTACCCAATCTAAGGAGTTTTTTTTCCAAGTGAAACATAGGTTGGATCTTCCATCCTTAGAGCACCTCAGTGTCTATGATTGCCCTGAATTGGAGGCCTTCTCTCTGGGAACCTTAAGCACGCCAAAGCTGAAGGTCGTTTTATCTGCTTATGGAGGTGTTTGGGTGGACGACCTTAATACCACCATAAGACACATATATGAAAAGCAAAAGGTATGTGATTTTTTAATGCTTATGACACATGACATCATCTACTTATTTCTTTCCTGCTTGGAGTAACTTTCCATTTAGTTATTTTGTGACAATAATAATCAAGTTTTATCTGCAATGTTAGACACTAACAAATGACAACGTATCTGCTTAATTTCTTTCCTTCTTGGAGTAACTTTCCATTTAGTTATTTTGTGACAATAATAATCAAGTTGTATATGTTATGTTAGACACTAACAGGCTTGGAAGCTTTAATTATTAGTGTCTTTGCAATTTTAAATATTAAAATGTCTTTAAATTTATAAGCATCAATGAATGCATTGTGGCAATTTGAATGATGGTCGACTGCATTTAATTACTAGGATCTAGTGAGAATCTAAGGACAAATTTTACTTTGTACCCTAAAAAATTTTAAAATTTTTATTTTGTACCCTCAAAGAAAAAATAACATAAGCTAATAGAAGGACCACATTGCAACACTTCTGATACAGTGAAGGTATAATATAAAAAAAATTAATTTTTGAGAGTGTAAAGTGAGAAACTTAAAATCTTTCAGGCTACAAAGTAACAAAAACCCACAATCTAATAACCACAATTTTTATGTCTTCCAAAATCGTATGATTCACAAATAGATTTGATTTAGTCCCTATTCGATTTGTATCTTACTACAGAATCATTTTTGATCGAGAAACGCAAGAATCATACGATGTGATTCGAATCGAAGGAATCACCCGATTTGTTTTATTATTTTTTTGATCCTATTTCTAGTAAAATGACGTCCCTTTGACTGTTAGTAGTTAAACAACATAATTTTACTATAAGAGACCCACCTTAAATATAAAACTCGTGTCTCTCTCTGTATCTGTTGTTCATGGTTCTACCTGTCAAGCGATTATCCGAGCATCTGTGAACATCACACAAAGACGACGTCTCCTTCACTCTAGATATACTTCTTCTTCTTCTTCAAAAACAATTATCAAACGCTAACATATCCATCGTTGGCTTAGCACCAAAGGTTTGAGTATAAGTGGTCTGCTGTCCTTCCCTCCAGTCAGCAATTGCCTGGATGGTGTGGGCTTGTGGGTTCCTCCCTGCCAAGTGTGTTTAAGTTGTATGATGTGTGGATTCTGTGTGTGTTTGACTAAAAAAACAAAAAATATTTGTCCCAAATTGTTGGCTAAGTACCAAAGGTTTGAGTATAAGTGGTCTGCTCTCCTTCCCTCCAGTCAACAATTGTCTGGATGGTCTGGGCTTATGGGTCCCTCTCTACCAAGTGTGTTTGAGCTGTGTGATGTGTGGATTCTATGTGTATTTTCCTTTGTGTATTTGACCGAAAAAAGAACTCTAACATATCCTAATCTTTTTCAATAAATGCTCTGTTTTTTATTTTTCATCAAAAATTTATTTTTCAATCGAATGTGGGAAGTGATTTTCTAAGTTTACATGTTCGAATCAGTATGGATTCCTATTTTAGTTTAACTTCATTGGTAGTAAGACAATAACTATTTGTTAGTTAGAATCATGCATTGTTCATCATGGCTTGAGGGAACGATTTATTTTGCATTAAGAAAGAACTAATAGAATACAAACTAAAGTGTAGCTTTATAAATATATATAAAGACTAGCATTTTTCAATTTAGACGACTTAATCATGTCAATATCATCAATTGATTATTTTTAAAATACATTAATATTTAATATCTTGCCTATTATAAATATGTTTATGTTATTGTTCAAATTTTGTGTCAAATCTTACGATTTTCGATTCGATAAGATTTTCAATTCTCAAATCTAGGATTTAGATTCCAAATATGCACCTCGATTTAATAGCTATGCTTTTTGTATTGCTTATCTAATTTTTTTTTTTGGAATAAGATACATATTGATGTTACGAATTTTTGCAGCTTGATAGCTCAATGATGTTGCGACTCCATGAACAGAAAAATGTGATTGAAATGTGGGCCAACCAGATCCAAACTAGTTCGTTCAGTAAACTTGAAATACTGAAGGTTGGATCTTGCAACAATTTGAGACAAGTATTCTATCTTTCCGCGGCTAGGGCTCTCATGCACCTCCAATACTTGGAAATAGGAAATTGCCTGGCAATGGAAGAAGTAGTTGTAAAGGAAGAAAAAAAAGTAGTCATGAAGGAAGAAAATGAAGCAGAGGACGAACGGAGGATGAATGAAATTTTGTTCCCTCAATTGGGACATTTGGAACTTGACAATCTACCCAAGCTATGGAGTTTTTTTCAAGTGAACACGTGGGTTGGATCTTCCATCCTTAGAGCACCTCTATGTCTATGATTGCCTTGAATTGGAGGCCTTCTCTCTGGGAACCTTAAGCTCGCCATAGCTAAAGGCCGTTTTATCTGCTTATGGAGGTGTTTGGGTGCACGACCTTAATACCACCATAAGACACATATATGAAAAGGAAAAGGTATTTGATTTTTTACTGCTTATGACACATGACAACATCTGCTTAATTTCTTTCCTTTTTGGATTAACTTTCCATTTAGTTATTTTGTGACAATAATAATCAAGTTGTATCTACGATGTTAGACAGTAATAGTCTTGGATGCTCTAATTAGTCTTAGAATAATACTATTTGAACTTAAAAATTCGACTTAATTTACTGGCCTGANATGGTCCTTCTCTGATGACCAAGTTTATTCAGTCTTTCTAAAAGTATAGGTTTATTTTGACCTTTTGTAAAGGACAAGGTTATTCAGTGATTCTTTAGAGGTTGAGTTTATTTGGTCTTTATGTAAGACCTGGTGGCATTCACATATTTGATCATGTTTCAAGGGCCAGATCTCCCACAACGATAACCCGTGATCGTCTTCTCTAGGAAAATTATTATTATCTTTCTCAGGATTTGATTATGATTGTCTTTTTCTGGACTCAACTATGCTCGTCCTTCAGATTCAATTGTGATCATCCTATTCCAAACATAGATATTATGGTGTTCTTCGGATTTGGTTATGACTTTGCTATGGTTGTCCTATTCGGGACTTGGCTCTCTCCAACCTGCATCTCATGGTTATCTTTGGCACTCCTTGAGCCCCTCAATATGGTAGTTCATTATTGCTCGGCTTAAAGGATTTTTTATAAGAAAAAAAACCAATATGTACTATTTTACATACCAAATTTCCATGAAGTCATATAAATTTTCTTTAGTGGCAATAAGTCCTACCTTTTTATAAAGGATTTCAAATAATTACATAACCTGTAAAATTATGAAGTGAACAAAATTATTACATTTGTATGAACACAATGGAAACTAAAAATACTATAAAGTCATAAAAGAAAATTATTTATAATTTTTTAATAAATTTTAATAAATTTTGGAGTTGAAAACAAAATTTATTTTCCAATTATTGTAAAAATTATTTATTGTTGAAAATAATGGTGTGGATTTATATAATATGACAAAATCCCTTATTGAACTCTCTGATTTGATAGTAACATGCAAGAACAAATAGTCACATACAACCTGTAGCACATAAAACTAAACCGATTGTATACCTGAATATTTTGTATAGTGAAATTCAAAATTCAGGGTATATCTTAAGTATTTAAAAATCTTGATAATTGTCTTCCAATTGTCTACTCTCGGTACTTGCATGTGTATTCAATTTACTAACTGAGTATGTTATATCAGGTCTAATACAATTCGTGACATACACTAGACGTCAATATTACGAAAGTATTCCAATTGTAATATGCCTTGTCTAACATTTTTAGACAAATGAAAGTTTATATCAACTGGTGTTCTAGGAATACTACTTTCATCATTGTCGAACTTCTCAAGTATTTTTTTATATTGAGATAATACAAGTCCATTGGATGTTCTAAAAATTTCAATTCCTAGTATAACAGCTGCAACACCTAAATTTTCTATGTCAAACTTATTGAACAATATCTTCTATTATCATTACCACCTACAATAAACATATCATCTACATATAGGTAAATAATGACATATCTATTATTTATGTCTTTGATATAGACACATTTATCACATTCATTGCTTGTGAATCCATTTGACGTTATGACTTTGTCAAATTTCTCATGTCATTACTTTGATATTTATTTTAATCCATAAAGTGATTTAACAAGTCTGCACGCCTCTTGTCTTAGAGCAATAAACCCTTCGGGTTACTCCATGTAAATTTCTTCATTTAAGTCACCATTTAGGGAAGCTATTTTTATGTCCATTTGGTGTATTTTAAGATTATGCAATGCTGCAATAACTATAGACATACGAATGAATGTTATTCTTCTAACCAAAGAATATGTATTAAAGTAATAAAGACCTTCATTTTGCTTCTAACCTTTAGCTACATGTCTAGTCTTATACTTTTCAATTGATCCATAAATATTTATTTTCCTCTTGAAAATCCATTTACATCTCAATAGTTTACTTTCCAGAGGAATATCTACCAATTCCCAAGTGTGATTTTGCATGATGGATTCAATTTCATTATTTATAGCTTCTTTCCAAAAAGGTACTTCAAGGGTGACAATTGCTTCTTTGAAGCTTTGAGAATACAAATATGTCAGAAAATTAAGATCATACGACTTGAAAGTCTTTTTCCTCTTATTACGTCTAGGTGTCTCATTACTTTCTTCATCTATAGACTTATAGTTGATATAAATGAGTTCTTTTAAAATAATTATCATCACATGCATTATGACAAGGAAATATATTTTCATAAAATGATGCATTTCTAGATTCAATAATTATATTGACATATATATCATAAATATCAGATTTATGCACAGAAAAATGATATGCACTACTATTTATTGCATAACCAATAAATATACAAACAATGATCTTAGGTCATATTTTAATCATTTTTGAAAAAAGGACCATCACTGTAGCCAAACCCAAACACCCATCTTCATAGCCAAACACCCCCACACTTTTTATATATTTATAGGAAAGACTCCGACATTTCCATGATTCATAAGGAGTTTTGTCTATTTTCTTGTGGGATAACTTAATTAGAATATAATTTGTTGAAAGCAAAGCTCCCCCCTACAAGTTCTGAGGTAATCCCGAACTAATCAACATAATATTCATCATCCCTTTCAATGTTCTATTATTATGTTCAACAATCCAATTTTTTTGAGGTGTATAAGGTATAGAAATTTGGTGAATAATCTCATATTCTTGATAGAACAAATCTAAAGGTGTAGTATATTCACTACCTCGATTATTTCTTATGACTTGAATTTTTTTGCCAAGTTGATTCTTAAATTCCTTCTTATAATGCATAAATTTTTTAATGGCTTCATCTTTACTTTTTAACAAATATATATAACAATATCTTCTGCAATCATCAATAAAAGTAACAAAGTACTTCTTTCCACATCGAAGTTTTAACATATTTTAACTCACATGTATCACTATGAATTAATTCTAGAGGTTTATACTTCTCTCAATATTATGGAATGATGCTCTAGTTAATTTTGATTCAACACATATTTCACATTTATGATTTGTATCAATATTGAATTTAGGACATAATTCTAAATTCATTATTTTACACAAAGTATCAAAATTAACATGTCCTATTTTACCATGTCATATATTATAAGATTCAAACATTTAAGCAACAGATGGGTTATTATTATTATTATTAAAAATAAATACAATCGTTATTACATTTATCTTAATCCTAAATCAAGTCCCTTTGAATCCATGAAATAAATTTCCAATTACTTTTTGGAGATTCTATTGTCATCCTTAATCTTCAATCTCACAATCAAGTCTAAGTTTTATTTCTTTAATAATTACATCTACTTGAACGATTCACTTAGCACTATCCCTTCGACACGAATTTCATGCATGATCACTTCAAGTTCTTGAACTTGATTAATGACAGTCTTGAAATCCACCATTTTACAGTCAATGAATTTCTTCATTCTAGTATCCTCCATTTTCTACTTGTTATCCAAGGACTCTCACAGCTCTTTAGCTGTCTTCGTTGAACTATACATATTATATAATATGTTATCCAATCCATTGAAGATATAATTCTTGCACAAAAAATTAGAGTGTTTCCATACATCTACCACAGCAACAACTTGGAGCCCACTCTCATTCTCAAGAAGACTAAGAGCATTCTCACGAAAAACTTTGCAAAATTCAACATAGTGAGATAGAACATTTTTTGCTACCATATCTTGAAATCATTCCCATTGTTTTTCAGGTTTTTCTTCTAGAGTCACATGAGTAGGTACAAAAATAGGTATCACATACTCCACATGATTCGTAGTAGTAGAGACATTATTCTCATTTGTATCCATTTCTGATAAATAAAATTACAAAATATTCAAAAAAAAGAAAAAGAAAACATTAACACTTTAAAAAGCAAGTTACTAAAATAGAAACAACCTATGCTACTGTTCAATGATAGTGTTTGATGTCATTGTTTCAACTTCAGAATTACTTTAACAAATTAAACATATAAACATAACATATAACTTTCCACAAGATATTCCAAGTATCACCAAAATACTACAGATTGTAAAATTCAAGTTTTTAACAATTGCAATATTTCAAACAATTGAAAAACTAATAACACGAATCAGAAACACAATAAATAATTATACAAATATGGGATATGCCTTAAGATAGTTGAAAATAATGGTGTGGATTTCTATAATATGGCAAAATCACTTATTGAACTCTTTGATTTGTATCATATAATTTAGAATAAACAGTAACATACAAAAACAAATAATAACATAAATACTATGACAAATAAAACTAACCCAATTATAGATTAGGAATGAAGATTGACTTTTTATAGATCAAGGCTAGTGTTTGACACTATGTCCTAAAGATAGATTTCGCCCACACACTAATGCTTATGAAAATGTCAGTCTTTGCCTCCTAGGATACAATGCTTTTCACGTAATTTAAAGTAACACTCCACTTCATTTGCCCAGTGAACTATGATCGTGTTGTGTACTCAAAAAAATGTAGTCTCTTAATCATGAAATGATGAATGTAATAACTGCCCTAATGACTAATTTTGTAAGTGTAGAATGCTAATAAATATGGGTTATTTATAGACATAATGGTGACTATTTTGAATAGCCAACATGCGAACTGATGCAACCTAGAAGACACCATTCAATAACTACTCAACCATGAATATATACAAATTCAAATTTGGATTGGAAGAAAATAAAAATCTGAACCAGTGCCAATTTTAAATTTCAACAAGCACATATTA